GGAATCATATTTTACATAGATTACAATACAAATTGTGTATATTACTAGAACGTTTTAACTTTATTAATTCCCTGAGTCTTACCAAAATATATTTTCTCGATAATAAGCAGCAGAGATACTGGAAGAGCCAAGAGCTGACTTAGCTGTCGGACATTGCTAAAGTAAGATCTTATAAAGGGAAAATTTACCCACGCATTCGCGTTTTCTATGCTAATTAATTCTTGTATGAAAATATGATGTTGTTTGCTAAGCTAGTTTATGTCGATCGTCTGCAAATATTAAACTGTCAAATATATCTTAGTTTTACCACTAGAGGGAAAATATTATGCTAAAATATGGAAGGATCAATAAAATCAGTATACATATAGCATCGTGGGTTTACGACAAATGCCCGAAGGCGTTTTGCCCGAAAGGACGTTGGCCCGAGCTAACATAAAAGAAAACAATTTTACATTATTGATTTCGGCATCAAGACAAATTTGCGCAATCTAAAAAGAAAATGCCAGACGCTGTTTAATCAACCGTGACCATGCATATCTACTATACACAATACTTAAACAATTTTTTCTTGCCTATCTATAGCTTTTTATTCCATCAAGAAACATATCTACGTTTACCAATGTAAGGCAGAATTTCGATTTGTATATTTGATCTGCATACTAATCTTAATGTATATATAATGCTTGTGTTATTTGGAAAACATTACGCATCTCAAAAGCTTTAATTTATTTGAATAAGAAGCGATGTGTAGATTTATGAATTATAAATAAGTATAGGTTCATCAGCTTTTGTCAATTGTATTGTTGAGTGTTATAATAAACATAAAATGGATTTAAACAACGAATCGTTATTTCAATATTTGTTTACTTCTGCTGCTTTGTTTGCTATAAAACCGTGTACGCATTAAAATGCAACTAATTTTATACACCTTACTAAATAAAATAAATGGCTTTATTGACATCAATCTGTAGTACAGGTAACACTTTTATAAAATGCTAATAAATATTTGCATTAATAATTACAAATCACAATTTGATGTGAATGTATTACAGATACAAACACAGACAATATAAATAAGCAGTTACTGAATTAAATAGATGCAACAAGAACGATTATAAAATGTACGTATTTTGGTTATCAAACTTAAAACTATCAAAGAAATTCTAACATTTCAATTTGATTTTTTAGCAAAATAAGTTGTAGAAATACACATGCGATAAGCTTCATGGTTGAACTACATGTTTAAGGTGAGTTTAAAAATTGAACGTGCAAAACAAAATCGACTCCATACGGTCACTTAGACAGTGTGAAATTATGTCATAAAAATTAGTATTTATATTTGACCTAAACAAAGTAGCCTAATAAAATATCACATAGCGCAATGTACGGTTTAAATCAACCTGTCAGTTATGTAATTTTACATTTATGCTTTTATAGGCTGCTTAAGTAAGCGGTTGATTGGTTCAATAAGCAAATCATCACAATGTTTATATTCTGATTTGTATCTACCTTTATATAATTCTGAATACTAATTTTTGTTTATATAATGCAAGAATCGACTTATTTAACAGCTTGCAGTTTTTCACCCCATTGCTAACGCCATGATATATTTGAGAGGAAATACTTACGTTTCGCCATATGTGAATATATCAACATACAATTATGTGAGTGCGTGGGTACAATTTTCTTATATAAGTTCTAGCATCGAACATTATCGGACAGCTGAGATTGACTGCCCTTAGCTCTTTCATTTGTTTCTTTCCGTTATTGTCGAGAAACAGTTTTTGGTAACTACTATTTTCTTTGTTAATCTAAAATGGCTATCGTATATTAATGATTTGTAAACCATTTTCTTAAGCCAGATATTTTCACTACGATCAAGTTCTTCTTCTTCTTCGTTCTTAATTATTAGTGTTGAAGGGAATCGAGATTTATCTGCCAGTGGGTTTGAACTCGAGACTTTGTTCGAATTTATCAACCATGAGCTTATTGCCGACTCGACCACGCCTCCAACACAATTAAGCGTTACGTGTCAACTGGTTATGCGCCATTGAGGCCATTGACTCCGATTTCAGCCTGCTTTTCTTTTAACACGTTTTTCTTAACTCAGCTTCGCGTTTGTGTGTTTGTGGATTTGTTTGTTGTTAAAATTGACATCGAAAATTAGCCCACTTCTGATTGCTCTAAAGATCTGAAATTTGGCATGCATGCTACTTTCGCCTAACAATTTCAGATGCAATCATAAAAACTAGCAATTAGAGACCGTAATTAGCTTAATTTAATTACGCCCCAAGGACCATAAAATTGAGGACATGATTTCTAAAGATACCGACAAGACTGGAGGCCTATTGACACAGTTACTTCGGCCCCAATCGATGTGAGCGCGCTGGCCGTGATCGTATAGTGGTTAGTACTTCGTGTTGTGGCCGCGACAACCCAGGTTCGAATCCTGGTCGCTCAAGATTTTTAGTCCGTGTATTTATAAACACTTAGTCAAGTCATACTTAATCAAGTCATTAGATAAAGTAGAAAATAAACTATATAAAAAACTTTTTTAAAAACCACGTTTTTCATTTGTGGCAACGGACTAAAAAGGAGAAAATAAAATACTTAAAAAAAACTTTAAAAAAAAAAAACACGTTTTTCTTGTGGACTAAAAAGTAGAAAATAATTTTTTCTTTTGTGCTTCCTCGAGCTGTGCAGGTTCTTGTGATGACTGACAAAAAACGTGGGTCGGGCAGATAGGTCGGGAAATTTGATGGTGAACGTACCCACGTTTTTTGTCAGTCATCACAAGAACCTGCACAGCTCGAGGAAGCACAAAAGAAAAAATTATTTTCTACTTTTTAGTCCACAAGAAAAACGTGTTTTTTTTTAAAGTTTTTTTTAAGTATTTTATTTGGATTTGCTTCCATAGCCTTTGTCCAACCAAGAACAAACTACAAGGCAGCAGTTGTTTAATTTTGGAGTTGTCTCTCCTAGAAGAGTGGCTGTCCCCAGCTAACGAGCCTCATCTGCCCGAGGGTTCGAACTCGAGACTTTTCGGTTTAGCAACCATGAGCTGTACTGACTCGACCACGCCGACCAGATAAAGTGATTTTAACCATGTGTATTTAACCAATTATTTTTTTTTCGACTAAGCTGTTTAGAATTGCAATATAAAATATGACTTTATTCAACAGTTAAAAACTGTCAACTGTTTTTCATTTTTCCTTCTTATTCTTGCTTCTGGTAAGTCTGTGTTAAACAACAAGTAAAAAATGTTTGCCATTGCGCTTTAATTATACTTCTTAATGTTAGAGATTTCCATGTCAAAACTAAAACAATAGATGTTTAAAGCATATAAACATATTTATTTCAATAGATGTTTAAATTTTTAAAATGTTATATATATATATATATATATATATATATATATATATATATATATATATATATATATATATATATATATATATATATATATATATATATATATATGCTTTATGTGTAGAATATTTTCTTTTTCTATCAAATTGTCTTTTATTTTACAGTTGTGGTGACGGCAGGTAAAGCGATTTTAACATTTTATCTGATCGTTATGGGATTTTGTTTTTACATAAATAGAATATTTATATTATAAACATCAACACTACCTAATGCACTTTATTGAATATTTATTAAAACATTTTCTATTTAACATTTACTTTCTAATACATGAGAAATTAATTAAAAAACACTATATACAAAAAATATACAATATTAAAAAATATACAATATATAACACTTAATTTAAAAGAAATATCTACCATTTTTTAAAAATAAAACAAAAAACTGTATTTAGTTTTTATAAAACAAAACGTTTGTTATAATTCCGTCTGTAGCACACTTAGATTTTATTTAAATTTTTTTGGATACAAAAGCCAGGCAGTTTTCGCAAATCAATAATCTCTCTGCTTAATACTGTTTTGTTACAAAGTTTAGCAAAGTTGATATTAGTAACGCATTTGTTGAATTGTGTTAAGTGATTGTATACTTTTTTTGTTCAAATATCCTAAGGTCTATTCCAAACATTTTATAATATCCTGAGGTGTTTGGCTATTTACATTCTTTGATATCAACTAAACCTGCTTGATTTTGTTACGGTGTTTGAATTTAAATTCTCTTAATTAAAATGAACAGAAGACAGCGACAGTTGGGACCAAGCAAAACGGTTTGCAGATGGAGGTAAATAGTATATCATGATACAATTAAAAATAAAACAATAATAAATGCAATAAGATTTTATATTGGTGATAACAAATCTATCAAAAATGTGTACATGTGATAATCAAAAACAAAGCGAATTTTTTACAGAATACCTAACATCACCAAGGGTGGGAATTGCCAGGGGAAAGAAATCTGATGGTAATTTTGTTTTGAAATTATAGTTTTAGATTATCTTTAATTTATTCTGTGCTCTATTTAGAGATTGCAAGTAGATATTGTATAACATTATGTATTTTTCTATTTACAGAATACCTAACATTACCAAGGGTAGGAATTGCCAGAGGAAAGAAATCTGATGGTAAACTAAAAATAAAATTTAAAAATCATATCACTTTTAATTTATTATTTGTTCTCTTGAGAGATTGCAAATAAACGTTAAATTATATTATGTATTTGTCCGTTTACAGAATACCTAACATCACCAAGAGTAGGAATTGCCAGAGGAAAGAAATCTGACGGTAAACTAAAAATAAAATTTATAAATCAAATAACTTTTAATTTATTATTTGCTCTCTGAAGAGATTGCGAATAGACGTTAAATTATATTATGTATTTGTCTGTTTACAGAATACCTAACATCACCAAGAGTAGGAATTGCCAGAGGAAAGAAATCTGATGGTACATTTTTAAAAATATAGTTTAAAATCATTTTTAATATTTTATGAGATCTAATCAGAAATTGCGAGTCCATATTGTATAATATTATGTATTTTTCTATTTACAGAATACCTAACATCCCCAAGGGTAGGAATTGCCAGAGGAAAGAAATCTGATGGTAAACTAAATTAAAACGTCATGAATTAAATAATATTTTACGCATTCTGTGCTCTATTTAGAGATTGCAAGTAGATATTTTATAATATTATGTATTTTTCTATTTACAGAATACCTAACATCACCAAGGGTAGGAATTGCCAGAGGAAAGAAATATGATGGTAAATTCACAATAGTTTAATTTATTCTGTTCTTTAATTAGAGATTGCAAGTACAACTATATATAAAAGAGGGCACCAGTCGTTTGAGCACATAGCACACACACACATACACACACTATTTTAAAACGCTACATGTCAGTCTCGTAACAAACACACATTTTAAAGAACGTAATGAGGTTTGGAGTGCCATCTTTATGTACAAGACAACATTTATAGAATTACAGAAAGACTAGATTTATAGTAATGTTTACCACGCGTTTGCGGTATTTTGAAGATAACTTGTATATATGCGGATGACAAAAGGGTAAAAAAAAAGAAAGTTCCTAATCATATTTTCATACCCAGACTTTAAATGAATACAGGGTGCAAGTTTTGCAAGTATATATTTGTGATGGATGTATAGTTAGTTGGCATAAGTTTATTTTCCTATGTTAATAACATTGATTGTCGCGCCTAGAACTTTAAATAAAGAATGTAAACATTTAAAGTTATATTTATATATTATTTATGTATACATGTGTAATTAGTTTTATATATATATATATATATTTATATATATTTATATATATATATATATATATATTTATATATATATATATATATATATATATATATATGTATGTATATATATATATATATATATATATATATATATATATATATATATATATATATATATATATATATATATATATATATATATATATATACATAACTGTTTATTTTTTATATATTTTTTACAAATATATACATTAATGTATATATATATATATATATATATATATATATATATATATATATATATATATATATATATATATATATATATAATGCTGATAATATATTTTATACACAGAACATCACCAAGAGTTGGAGTCGCTAGAGGCTAGAAGGCTAGAAAATAGCCCAGAAAAAACTGTGTGAACTTCTTCAAAAGCGCGATTGGAGTATTGTTTTAGCTTCAATGAAAAAAATGTCATCTATTTAACAGATACTGTAGTCTTTGTTTTATCTATGGTGTTGTATTTAAGATAAAGCTGAAAATGTCCATACATATTAAAAATATGTTGAAATCGGAAGTAATAAAAGTTCCAATACGTCATTTTTGTGACTTTTAATTCTTGTCAGATTGTAGAAGCACAAAAGTTTGCTGTAGCAGTTTAGCATGTTATGCCTCTTGATAGAAATCCTACCTGTCAAACAATAGTCAAAGATAGCAATATAGAAATAAGTCTATAATAATGAAAAAGTTTAGTCTGGAAATATGTTACGTAAATATATTTTATAATAATATAATTCCCTTAAAAATATGTCTACATTTAAAATATCATACTTTCTCATAACAATGTAAATGTTTCAAAACAGCATCGATACTAAGGTAAATCACGATCTTTATAACTACGCTGACATATAAACATGAATTTCTACAAACATGTCGTCTTACTTAGATCTAATTGAATATAGGCGAACGTTTGATAGTCTGTACTTGTCAAAGCATACAAAAGGCTTGTTTACAATGTATATCTTGTTACCACGCAGCGTGCATTGATGTTAAACAAATATTTTTCTTTTCGGATGAATGGCTAATACGTCAAGAGGAAACACGTCTATTATTCAGACTTAACGCTGGAAAATACCTAAATCTGGATTAGTTAAAATAAATTAACTTCCAAGACAGAGTTATTGGACGTATGTGGGTGGAGAATGCTGGCGGTGCTTACGTGTAGGGAGTTGCCTAAAATACACATAATCATTATTATGGTTAAAATACACATAATCATTTAGTACAAGCATGTTTCATCAAGCAAAATAACATGATTTTGGCATATATTAGTAATAAAATATACTTAGTTCGCGGCTAATAATTAACATGTATACATATGTAACAGCTTTTTTGCTATTTTCTTTATAAGGTCCATTGTGTTGTTGCACAATCAATAGCAACGTTTTCTTTTATTATTTTCCTACAGAAAAACTCAAATTCTATAGATATGTTCCCTACAGCTGTTGCTGAGTACTTAAAAGTTTCATTACCTTATAGATACAAAATGCAACCACATTTACTAAAAACTGAACTATCAAAATACGTTTCTTTAACTATTTTATTATTTTATATAAACAAATCAATTTTTATCTATAACACTGAAGTTTACTGAAGGATTTATACCGTGTTTAAATAGTCAGATCGTGGATTTATTGTTCATTCAGTTTACACAGCAAAAAAAAAATCATAGTAAGAAACATATAAAAGGTATACGTTTTATTTTTCATATTAACTGTTAGTAATCATTTCATTTGTGTTGGCATATTCAATAAACAAATATACTTAAATGGAAATAAATAGTTCATTAATAAATATCTTATTACAAACGACATATTTTAAAGATTAAAAATAATTTTATTTTGTACAACAAACTTTAATGGTGACCATCTTTTCAATTTTTCAGCATTAGGCCGCTATGTAGGCCCTATATGAAAATATCAAATTACAATAATTGTCATTAACATAAGCTGTTCTGCGTGCTCTGCATATTTATATACTTACCGATGTTGCAGTTTTACGTGAATAAGTCCAAGGAGCAGTCGATCAATTATATATCTCTCATTCTGTCTTTCTCTCTCTCTCTCTCTCTCTCTCTCTCTCTCTCTCTCTTCTCTCTCTCTCTCTCTCTCTCTATATATATATATGTATATATATATAAGCAATATATGTGTGTGTCTGTTTGTCTCTTATGCATTACTACACATTTAATCCTTAAAAAACTTATAACTTTGGGAAGTTGTCGAGAATACACCTGGGGGGTCAAATTTGCAGGGGTGGCGCCCCGGCAGGGCGGGATTCGATTCTCCTCTATATACGGTATATAAAAATAAAAGTCGATTGCGGTTTTATACAGTCCATCCGATTGCCATGAAGATACGAGGAGTTGATTAGAACACTTCAGGTGAGGTTTCTGCCAAAAAATCTTTTTTTTATTTTCGCGATCGTGGAGCCCGGGAAGGTGCGATTTTTTCTATATACTGTTTATTAAAATATACAAGTCGGATGCAGTTCGACACCTTTCATCCGACTGCTATGAAACTTTGGGTAATTGATGAGAATACTCTCGGTAATTGATGAGAATACTCTCGAGAAAGTTTCTGGGGAAAAAATATTATGGGAGCCTCAGAGAGTGTTCGATTTTTGTGACTAAACGGTTCAGCGCCCAATTTCCAGAGCTGCTATTTTAGCACTTGGTATCCATTAATCAGGAGTCCTTCATAGCGAGTAAAACTTCAATACGCGCAGCCGCTGGCGCCCTGGCTATTGTGTGACCCGAAGCGCCCTGGACTGCCTGAGAGCACTATGGCGCCTACGTTCGTTTTAAAAGAAGGGTATACTCTAAAGACAAGATGGGCAACAATAATTGTTGACTATATCAAACTGTACTTAGTAGGCAAAAGTTTTGAAAAAAACGATATTTTTTAACCGTTAACCTTTTTTTTATGAAAGCCATTAAATTCTCTCGAGACACAACAGAGGCGTAGCGACCCTTCCCGGCGCCCGGGGACATACTTTCAATTTGGCGCCCCCTTGGAAGCAAATTTTCGATTTGCACCCCCCCCCCCCTCGAACTTTTCATTTGTGAATTGTAAGCCAGTTGAAAGTTTTGGCTGTTTCAGATTTGACGGAAATAACAATTAACTAATAACGAAGAAATACAGCTTTCTATGATGCCTAATGCAATATGATGTAGCGAAAGTGTACTATTATAAAAATGTAATTTTTTATGTTTTCCTATTTAAATTCTTACTGTTTGAATTAATAAATTGACACGGAATCCAAAAAGCAAAGCTACTCATTATGACCAGAAATAAAAATTTTGGTGACTTTTTTCTTGCGCATATTCCCTTAAATGTCTTAGTTAATATCAAATTGAGTCTTTGATTTAATAAAATAAGTATAGTTCCAATTGCTAAACAGACCTAACAAATAGATAGGGCTGTCGAAGTAGATTGTAAATGTACCTCGGGTGACAAGACACATCATCTAAGGACAACTGATCTCTTAATAATTATCTGTGAAAAAAATATCTTTCGGCAAAAAAGTTAAAAGAATTTAGGCTGATTGTAGTTGACTCGCTTCCCCCAAAAAAAATCTGCCACCCCCCCCCCCCCCCTCCAACTGCGAACAAATGGATTTTGTATTAAAATCTTATACTCCCCCCCATCCCCCCACCAGATAATTTAGTCCTATCCCCCGAAAATATCAAGTGCCCCCCCCCCCCCGGAGAAAAATATCTGGAAGAAACACTGCAGAAGATAGCATCCGTTTTAGTGGAGAATACAATTTTTATCCTAAAGTCAATAGTTCTATTTCGGTTAGGGGTCATCCATTAATGACGTCCACTAAAATTTCAGATTGTAACCCCCCCCCCCTCCCCCCCGACACCATTCATACGCGTCCACTTTCAACGGACCCCCCAAATAATTTCAAGGATTTTCCCCATTATCGACCCAAAAACCCATGCAAAATATTCAACCCTTTGTGGAGGGGGGCGGGGAGGGGGGGGGGGGGGAGAATGGGGGGGGTGGATGCTAACATAGTATAATTCTCTGTACGTGATACACAGTATTATTTTCTGTACTCATTGAATGTATTTTAATAATTAATATTAACGATTATAACATCAATAAGTAGCAAGTCCACCTCGGGTTCATGGCTTCTATTTTGTTTACTTAATCGCTCGCTTTCCAAAGAAGTGATTTTTTTTTGGGTTCGACCAAAAATGACGTCACACTATGAAGGGGCTGGAGGGGGACACCCTTTGCAATAATGTTAGAAACCAAAATAAAGCCGTTCCTTCACGTAGTTATTTTTCTGAAAAACTTCAAATGAAAACCAATCGAGGCCCATGCTCAGTAAATATTTTAGAAACAACATAGCTTTTTTTTTTTAAATTACAGTTGTGAGAGTTATGGTTGGCTGAGGTGTGACGTCATTTTAGGTGTTGGGTCCTGGTTTTTAGTGGATTAGTGAAATTCGGCTGTTAGGTGAGGTAAAAATCGTCAAATATCTTGACGTTACTTATTGTATAGATGACCCCGGTGTAAGTGTAATTTCAGAGCTATATTTACACGCTGCGATAGTGTTGTTTCAATTTCACGTTTTACATGCAAGATAGAAATTTTGTGTTTGTTTTGTTTGTTTTAAATCGTTAGCAAGTCGATGTTAAATTCAACCTGTAGACGTCAACAAGGACCCGAGCCCCCCCTCCACAACAGTCCATATGCGTCCACAAAAGTCGATTTTTTTCGGACTCCCCCCCTCCCCCCCGTGTGGATGTAATAAATGGATAACCCATTAACCTTAGTGACACCTTTTTCTAAGAACGCTAGACATAGCCGTTTTTTTTTAACCACATCTACATGAACTCCACTCACACACGCACTCCCCGTAAGTTCGAGACTATTCTAACCTATTCTAATCTGACCTCAACTGACCCGTAACAGGTACCCATTAGAACCGTGCGAACTCAGGAACCTTACTGACTGAAATCCGGTCTGATAACTAACACCGCGTCACACTGAGAATTTTTTGTGATCGTTTCTTATTCTGGATGGACTTGACCTAGCGGTAGAGAGTTCAAGTGCTAATTCGAATGTTTCGAGTTTGAATCAATGTTCAAATAAAAACGTTCACTCAGCTCTGATGTGCACCTAACTCTCATAAGTGTATGCTCTTTACACTGTTCTGATTGGCAGAAGTGGTTACACGTCTGATGTGCATGGAAGGCGAGGCGATTTGGTGCCGTGTGGAATGGTAGATTCGGATCCCGTTGGGTTCTGACTGTTCTGATTTTACTTGGACTATATTCTGTACCTTTGTCTATCCTTGGCGTTGAAATATCACTTTCTGTTTATATTGCTATTTCAGTTACAACGTCTGCTTCCACCCCCTGTACATGTTTACGGTTTAACTTGATCAATTTCGCGAACGAATAAGAATGTATTTATAATATATTGCGATAATCGAACACACTTGTTTCTAAAAGTGAATTATTAAATATCAGATGACTCATTGACCTAATAGATTAGTTTAGGAAGTCTTTGTTGCTTTTTATCGATGCAGATTCCAAAAAAATAATTGAGTTACGTTTGTTGAAACTTCAGCTTCATTTCTATGAAGGGCGTGGACATTTTTAAAAAATAATAATTCATTGAAATTTTTGGGCGAAATGTTAAAAGCGATTTAGTGCTTAGCCCTAGAAAACTTGGACGCACTTTAAACTCTTATAATGATTTTTTTTAAATTAAAAAAGTTGAATCATTTCAACAGAGCTTGGGTCATGAAAGTAAACAGGCCAAAAGAAGATTTAATAATTGTGACCATTATAAAATAGTGGCTCAATAATTTAAGTTAATTAAAAAGCGAAATACACTTTGGAACCATACGGTTCTTGGGGTTCTAGATCTTCTGTTTTAGTGATATATGAAGTGTTGTCAGCACTATGTCATTCAGCCGTTTAACTCAGTAAGCTCTAGACAAACTTAATCACGAGGTACATACTTGAGCACCAGATGTGAACCAGAGACTTATGGGTTGGCAGTCGAACACACAGATATTGTGCAATGTTAATAAATAAACAAATAAACAAATAATATACATCTTTTAAGCGGTTTATTTCATCTTCTGAATTTTCTTGCAAGTGTAGTGTCGTCCCGGGAACTATAGCGTTACGACTGACCAAAGCATCCTTCTTAGCTGACTGAACACTTGATAATTCATCTAAGCCCCGCTTGTTGTCATCTATAGCACTGCCGCCAGGATAAGCTGAAACTGAAGTACATTGACACGAAAATGAGTACTTAACGTAATAAGGCGATGCATGCTTGTGGTAGCGTGATAAGTGTATTCAATGTTAGCTGTGGAAAGAGGTATGGATACAGCCTTATGCTGCCCTAGAGTCAAACATGAATAAGTCAATTTAAGCTGATAATAATAAGTAAAATAGTGTTCTTCAACAAGTAGGGGGATTAGAGTCTACTTCTTCATGGAATAGTTTTTTTATATGAAATTTGAGAATAGATCGTATATGCTGTTAGCACTGTATTAAGTGTTCTAATAGAATCAAAGAAATCGCTTAATTTAACATGTACGTAGGCCTGAGATAATCTCCCCATGAAGTAGAGTACAGTGAACTGTGATAGAACGATATGTGAGCTACTCCAACGTGGACTCATTCACGAAACAGGATACAATCATAACGTAATTTTATAATCTTCTGCCACTGCAGGATAAATGTTATAGCTAGGTAAAATCAAATGTATTCAACTGCCATGGGAAACTCAGAGCAGGAATAGTTATAAAAGTAATAACAAAATCGCAATAGCTAGCACAGCTACAGTAGAGAAAACTAAATAACCAGGTCTAATGATCTCGTTTGTCTCTGGCAAGGAACTACGGCCGGCAAATAAAATTAACAAACAGGCCTGATAACTACTTGATGAATTAGTGCACGCAAGTGTACGCCCTGTAGTAAAATTATAAGTTATTAATAAATAAAGATGTAAGAGTAAGTAATGAATTTATTAAACTTAAAATTTATTTCATTTTAAGAATATATATATATATATATATATATATAAATGTTTTTAATATATATATATATATATATATATATATATATATATATATATATATATAAATGTTTTTAATATATATATATATATATATATATATATATATATATACATAAATGTTTTTAATATATATATATATATATATATATATATATATATATATATATATATATATATATATATATATATATATATATATATATATATATATATAAGATTCCACTTACCTGCAGCAGACAACACAAACAGAAGGAAGAAAATACAGAACAGCTTCATGGTGACTACTGTAAATATAAGACACATTTTAAATGACAATAACTTTCATTTTTATTGGCCATTTTTAAATACACAATAATTTCAATATTCATTCTGACAAATGGAAAAGATAATCAACATTAATTAGCGATTTTGTACACGTTTGATATTTAAGTTTTGTCGTTGGCATTGTAATATTTTATTTCCAGTAAAGGGCATTTGTTTGAAGTAATTGTGCCAATATAAATTAAACGGTTCTTAACTGTTCACTTTTTTTTTAACTTGTATTTATCGTTCTATAATACGCGTTTTTTGTTCTTACAGAAACAAAACAATAAAAAAAAAGCAGAAAGATCAGTAAATATTTAACCCTATAATCACAAAAAATAACAGCAATTTTTATTAATTATATAAAAACTTCTTGTATCTTATACACATTATATAAAAATGTCAGTAATTGTATTTCAAATATTTTAATTTTTGTTTTTCTAGTTTTATGTCGTGTCTAAGAGCTAATTAACCTTCACATGTTACAAAGGAACTGGTTATACACGGTCAACAACAGCTAGAAAAGACCTACCTTAAGAGTTTCTTGAGTTTTTCGGTAAGGAAATAAAACGACCAAATGTTACTGTTGGTTCTACGGAACAATCGTGGACCTTATAAAGGAAATAGCGGGATAACATTTACATACGTATACATGTTAATTATCAGCCGCGCACTAAGCATATTTTATTACTTGCAGATTCGTGGAGCATTTATTGTTTACTGCTTTACAAAGCAAGCTAGTAGGAAGGGGATTATGCGTAGGTTAACCGCGATTAATACGCTAGTATGTACAGCCCACATTCCCCCACCGTCATTACAAGCCCAATAACTATGTCGTCTAAGACAATTTATTTCTAAAAATCCAGATTTAGGTGTCTTCCTGAATACCAACATCGGTAAATGTGAATAATAGAGTTGCTTTCTCCGGACTTCTTAACCTATGTATACGGAATCTAAATATTTGCATATTATACAATACACGCAATGTGTCACGAAGATTTACATCCAAAGCTAACTTGTTTTACGCTTTGACCAGTGCTGACATAAACACATTTACTTTATGCACTTAGATTTGAGAGCATTATGATTGTTTTTATGTTTGTTTTTAAAAGACTAAATATATTTGGTAATATATATATATATATATATATATATATATATATATATATATATATATATATATATATATATATATATGTGTATATGTATATATATATATACATATATATATATATATATATATATATATATATATATATATATATATATATATGTGTGTGTATATATATATATATATATATATATATATATAAATATATAGTTTACTAGCATATATATAAGGTTTGGATAAAAATTGTAGATTTAATATTGACTCAACTGCAATTCCAACATCTTGCGTTCGACAGATTTCTCTAATTTTAGTATTTGAAAATTGTATAAATAGGTTACTCCAACAGCCCGAAGTCGGTCAATGCGCACAATTATTGACCATTCTGTGCATTGGCCGTAAGATGTGTTTATGTGTGAGGTGCTATGCCCAACAAGGTGTTACTGATTGTAGCATAACTATGTATAGCTAGCCCCTGGACTCCTAACATAAATGTGTGCTATATGTGTTACAGATAATTTATTTTAACACTATATTAAACATTAAAGCTGATTGTAAATGCTCTAGAAAGATAGGAGAAACTTGAGTCTAATTTCACATAATTTCAAACAGTGCAAGTAAAATTAAGGCCTGTTTTTTTGTTTGTGACAATGTGCCTTTCAAAAACAGCTGGGAACTAAAATTAATTAATTAATTGAATATATACAACACATCCCACTTAACCTAGGTGTAGATATTAACATATATACATCGCTATTTGACAATAAAAGCTTATCTATTCAATGATTACAATTTTTGTGGGGTGCGTTTTTGTTGTCTCTATTCATACAATGTGTCGGTATCAATATTTTTGCATTTAAAGTGTTATATTCATTTCATTCTTTTAAAACTTAAAATGTTACTTAGTTTAAAAAACTTTTGCTCATAAATATTTTATTTCTAGAATTAACCTTTACATTAAATGTTATGTAAAAGTAGTAAAGTTCCCTTTTTTAAACCTGACGGTATATAGGGCAAGTGAGGTAGAGTTCGCTTGTGGTCAGCGCGATGCTCAGCCGCCTTTACTTTCCCTAAAGTGGGTTGGGACAGAGTGGTCTAGCAGTAGAGAGCTCGACTGCTAACCCGTAAGTCTCGAGTTTGAATCCTGGTAGAGTGTCCCTGAGTACAACCAACTCTGATGACATGTTACGTAAACTGCCAAAAATTTAAGCTTAGATTTTTAAAATATTGTTTTATCGTGTAGGTGTACCAACAATAATCAGCAGTTAGTTGCTGTACCCCTCAAGGAAAATCACTTGCTCGGAATTAGAATTCGTAATGTTGGAGTTAGCGTCCATAAGCTCCGACACCCTAACAACCGCCACGTTGATTATATAAATAAATGTTGTAATGAGCTGCTTATGTTCTCAAACGGTTAGCTTGATGTAGGTGCTCTCCTTTAAAAGATTTGTTTCTGTTTGTCTGAATTTAATAGGTTTCTTTAAATAAATATCAACCGTGATCTATTCTTCAAATATTTTTTTCTTTAAAAATATTATAGTTAACAAATAAAATTAAATAAACTATAGCCTACTTGGCCTGCAGTTATGTAATCAGCTATCTTAATAAATAATGGTTTTTTTTTCAGTTTTTGTAAACTATATGGACATTTACTTAGAATTTTAAAAAGCAGCATCACAAAAAAAAAATATTTATGAATTATGTATAGCACGGTAACACACTTTCCAATTAGACATTAAAAAATACATATTATAATAATTGCATAGAAATGTTTTAAATGACGAAACATGATCCGTTATGTTAATGTGACGTTAGCTGGTCTGTGTTATATAAAAAAATGCTCAAATTGTGTTAGGCAAAATTGCTACATTTTTTAGGCGTCTTGCAATAAAAAAGGTAATTATTTATACGTATATTTTTGTTTCGTTACAATATATATTTCATTTAGTTAGAATCACACATAAGCGTTTTTTTAAATATAAACATGCTTGACGCAGAATTACCAAGCATATATTAGTATTATGATATTGGTACTTCTTGCGAGCCATTAACTTCGTTGATTACTAATTTTTTAATAAATATTTATTTTGACAAATTTGGTAAGCATACAACATATACTTTTCTCCCCACAATGAAAAAAAACCCCCTGAAATCGTATTTACTTTAAAGGTTCATCTCACTTCATATTTAATGAGAATATTTGCCTAATCAGTAGGTAAAAATTCTTCAGCTTGTGTCTATTAGAAATCTATCTTTCTGAGCCATGCAAATCAAATGTTATTCTATGTACTTATTTGAAAAATAGACACACACGATTACACGAGAAAACCTTTGATAACCTTTATTGATAAAACACAGAGGATTCCAAAACAGAGTTTGTCAAGGACCGGAAGATTGTAAAATATCAAAATGTGTCAAAATATCAATTACGACTTTTTTACGATTACGATACATCCTTGCTATTTCGTGTAAGAATTGTACACAATTACAGTAATATCTCTGTACTCTGTATACAAGAATGTAAAATTCTATCAACAGAATTTTGTTTTATACTTCAAACGCCTCTTAAAAAAAACAGTGATGCCCGTTAAAGAGAAGAGGGATCTATCTAGATACTCTGTAAATGGTAATGGTGAGCTACATGCGTTAGCAGAACTTAAAGAGTCTAAAGGAAGTACCGTTACAAAAAAAGGTAAAATATTCTCAATTTACTAATGTATCTATAAATCTACATCTACATCTACATCTACATCTACATCTACATCTACATCTACATCTACATCTACATCTACAACTACATCTACATCTACATCTACATCTACATCTACATCTACATCTACATCTACATCTACATCTACATCTACATCTACATCTACATCTACATCTACATCTACATCTACATCTACATCTACATCTACATCTACATCTACATCTACATCTACATCTACATCTACATCTACATCTACATCTACATCTACATCTACATCTACATCTACATCTACATCTACATCTACATCTACATCTACATCTACATCTACATCTACATCTACATCTACATCTACATCTACATCTACATCTACATCTACATCTACATCTACATCTACATCTACATCTACATCTACATCTACATCTACATCTACATCTACATCTACATCTACATCTACATCTACATCTACATCTACATCTACATCTACATCTACATCTACATCTACATCTACATCTACATCTACATCTACATCTACATCTACATCTACATCTAAATCTACATCTACATCTACATCTACATCTACATCTACATCTACATCTACATCTACATCTACATCTACATCTACATCTACATCTACATCTACATCTACATCTACATCTACATCTGCATCTACATCTGCATCTGCATCTGCATCTGCATCTGCATCTTCATCTGCATCTACATCTACATCTACATCTACATCTACATCTACATCTACATCTACATCTACATCTACATCTACATCTACATCTACATCTACATCTACATCTACATCTACATCTACATCTACATCTACATCTACATCTACATCTACATCTACATCTACATCTACATCTACATCTACATCTACATCTACATCTACATCTACATCTACATCTACATCTACATCAACATCTACATCTACATCTACATCTACATCTACATCTACATCTACATCTACATCTACATCTACATCTACATCTACATCTACATCTACATCTACATCTACATCTACATCTACATCTACATCTACATCTACATCTACATCTACATCTACATCTACATCTACATCTACATCTACATCTACATCTACATCTACATCTACATCTACATCTACATCTACATCTACATCTACATCTACATCTACATCTACATCTACATCTACATCTACATCTACATCTACATCTACATCTACATCTACATCTACATCTACATCTACATCTACATCTACATCTACATCTACATCTACATCTACATCTACATCTACATCTACATCTACATCTACATCTACATCTACATCTACATCTACATCTACATCTACATCTACATCTACATCTACATCTACATCTACATCTACATCTACATCTACATCTACATCTACATCTACATCTACATCTACATCTACATCTACATCTACATCTACATCCACATCCACATCCACATCCACATCCACATCCACATCCACATCCACATCCACATCCACTTCCACTTCCACTTCCACATCCACATCATCATCTACATCCACATCCACATCCACATCCACATCCACACCCACATCCACATCCACATCCACATCCACTTCCACTTCCACTTCCACATCCACATCATCATCTACATCCACATCCACATCCACATCCACATCCACTTCCACTTCCACATCCACATCATCATCTACATCCACATCCACATCCACATCCACATGCACATCCACATCCACATCCACATCCACATCTGTGTAAATTTTAGTTTAGATTTTTACAATTACTGTTTTCACT